TTTTTTTGCTTATGGCTAGGTAAAATTTTGAATTGAACTGAAACCTTGTTTACTGTTGCAATATGGGGTCAGGTTATGGAGAACATAAAGAGCCTATTATCCAGACCATACATACTGCTTCAGTGTCTTGAAGTACCTCAGCTTGATTCAGCCTCTCATTCAAAATGGAAAGAGGAAGTACTTTATTCTAGTGTTCCTCTGCCACTAACAGTAGATCTTGTTGCATGGGTCACTGAGCACGTGTTTTATTTAGAGTGTAGTAAGTACTGTCATGCCACATTAAATGTTAGAATATGTTCTGGGGGTTTTGGTTGTAGCCATGTTGGTCTAAGGACATAGGCAGACAAGGATCTTTGGATAGATGTGATATCTTTTATTAGACCAAATAAGTAGATGGAAAAAATTTTCTTTGCAAGGTTTTGAGCACAAACTATGCCTGAAGAAGGGTGTTTGTGCCTGAAAGCTCACAAAGAACAATTTTTCCAACTATTTAGTTAGTCTAATAAAATATATCACATCTACCCAAAGAACTTGTCTGCCAGAATATGCTCTGAGCAGTCACATAGCAAAGCTTACTATAATCTCAGCCTACTCTGAACAGAGTTGGGGCTGGTTGTGCCCCCTCCCCTTCCCCCACCAACACTGACCTTGGCATTAGGCACTGAAGCTCACATGTCCACCTGTGATGATGTGCAACCCTCATGCCAAGTGCCTGTGGTGTTTTGTATCGCTACATGCAAAGGTGATGCCAAGCACCAGGCAGGGTGAATAGTATCCAACACACTATGAACAAATTTCTAAGGCACTAGAAAAAATTCTGTACACTTGCAGAATTTTTTTTTAAATGCTTTTCAGTTTTCAGTATGGAAAACATGATTTGGTTGGGAATACACAAATATGCAACATATGCTTTAGTAATATAATCAGTACATTGAAACATAAACACACCTGTTAATGTCTGATCCACCAAATTGGTTGCCATGAAAGTCACAGCTGGTGTAGATACAGCAGTTACCCTGGTGACTTGAGTTGGCATCAAAGGAGTCATATGGGCATCCATTCTAGAAGCAGCACCTGCATGTGAACCATAATGAAAACATTACTTTTTTCCATTGAATAAAATTATCAAAAATAATCTTTATGCAATCTTATTCAAAGCACCTTTATTTACTGGCTGTTAAATATAATTGGAGACATCCTCCAAAGCATTCCTTTGAATGTTTCAATCTTTCTTTTGTGTGTGCTCTAGTTAGTAACTCTGGACACTGACAAGGTTATAAGAAAAGCAGTCAATTTTAAGAAATTACTAGGAAAATCTTATTGATTTAGGAAACATGCAGTAGCTCCACTAGAAAATGAATTTCCTGGTGACATATTTAACCAAAGAGGAACTAAATATATAGCACATTCAATTGTCTTATTCAAAATGAACCAAAGCAGTTTTAATGCCTCATATAGGAAAAATAGGCTGCTTAGGACCCAATATTATTCACAGAAAATATTTGGCAAATAATTTAACATAAGAACTACTTCCAAGGAAAACACAATCTGCTCACAAACAATTCACAAATGGAAAATGGCTAAATTGATCAAAAAATTATAAATGATAGATGACTCATCCATTTCATCTGCTAAAACTATGCTACACTAAAGCTGGACCACTTATTCCTCAAGAGATATTTCAGTGTAGGGCCACTGACAAATTCATTGAAAGAACTGCAGCATTAACTTACAGCTATGTGTGATTTTAGTTGCACAGTTTCATGTGGTCAAGCATGATTCCATACTTGCAAATTTTCCTGTACATCTATTTTATTGAATACTTTACCTGTACCCAGTAGTTTTTATCTCTCCTTTTCCACATTACATGGTCATTGCTATGGAACACTTCTTTAATATTTACTATGTATTGTAAAAATTCCTCTTGAATCTTGCTCACTGCACCTTGCATTTAATATTTATTGAATAAACAACACTGGAAAATTTCTGCCCTAGTGGGAAAGAAGTGGCCCAAGCTACAAGATAGGGGCCCATACCTTCCAGGGTAGCATCCATATCATTAACCATCTGGTTTGTTCTCTTTATCCTGGCCCCACATCTCCCATTCAGCCTTCCACTGGACCAGTGTCAAGGCCTAGAGAGGTGTCTGAGTAATGACTAGCTTATGTCTTGATACCATCACCAATCCCTGGACCAATGTCCTAATTATTGGCTACTGGGCTAGAAGATGAAAAGGCTATCCTAACTCCTCTTCAATCTAAAACCTGCTAGTCATGGGGTTTTTTTGCAATTAAAAGTTTGGCTTTACACATGTACATAAGTGATACTATTTTGCTGCACAGCTGCGTGGCCAGAGCAAGTATGCCTATATGGGTACTGATGAACTGAAAACTATGAGCAAGCTCCTACAAACTATGAGCATTCCTTTTCTTTTTCATCCTTGTGATGAAATATTTAGCAGAATTTGCAGATTCATCAGAATTTGTGAGGGCCATGCCATGAGTCCTTTACCATAGCCTCAAACTTGCAACTCCTGGGCAACCATGTATGTACCTTAGCACCCATGCCACCCCAGCCCCAACCTACAAGCAAAAATTGCTGTGTATGTGCCATTTATGTGAATAATACAAAATATGACTTAGCTAAGAATGCCTTTTGACTCTCTGATTGTGAGACTGATGCTATATTAGTAACCAAAACTACCACTAACACACAGCATGTTCATCCAATTGTTATATACAACAAAGCCATTTTACGAAATAAATACTATAGCTTATATAAGCATTATTTATTAAAAATACTGTTTGCATCTGTTTGAATTAGAAGAATGTTTTGTTTCTTGTTCATATCTGAGATGTAAATCAGAATATATGAAGTTAACATTGAAACTTCTAGCTGCTGCAATTGGGGCCAGGAGTATTCAGTAATCAAAGATATAAGATTCATCCTAGCGAGACAACTGAAGAGACATGACATATTCAAAAGGTGGCTCTTTTGGAAGCAACAAAAAGAACTAGTCGTGTATATTTTGCTGTTATGCATGCATATCCCCTTTGAATTTAATATAAGTGATTCATGCAAAGTGAGTAGAATAAATCACTCACAGTGAACGCTTGCAATTCTTCCTCCTACCTCCACTCTTCAAATTACAATTGTAACATCTGTTGTTTCCCCAATAAGTGCAGGGCTTCTTACTCAAGTCACTTAAAACTTTGGAGAAATATATTGTAATGATCAATGGTCCAGTCAGGATGAAGCAAATGTTCTGACACTGTGTGGTCACAGTAGTCCCATGCACAAAAAAAAGCACCATAAAAGGAGCTGGGACAGAATAATAGTTGAGTTAATTCCTATTACATATCTTACAACAAATGATCTTTCCACTGAGATGGACTAGTTCCCTGGCAACATGGTTTCAATAGAGCTAGATTTCTAGGATTCCTCTACCTGCCACAGATCCTAAATGTCCCATGGGACTTCTACATCACAGAGGATACACTATGGGAACACTCAGATTAGTTCCATGTTAATGAGCTTTATGTGAGTTAGGTTAATGCATGACATCCACCCTTACATTTCAGCAACCCTGCAGATAATGTCAAAAAATCATTAGTTTCAACTTTCAAATTGGGGGATAGCTCCCTGCCTAGACCTGATGGCACATAATCTGAACTTAGAAACTCTATAGAAATATATCACCAGGACTACTGACTAATATTTATTGTCTTTTCCAGTTAATGTGTTTTAAAGCTGCTATTTTAATGCATTCCCGTATTATCAATTACAGTTTCTTGGAGGAAAATTAGAGTTTAGGCTATAAACCAGATCAGTGAGATGTACCCTCCTAAGAGCTGAAGGAGGATTTAAAAACACAGTAAATCATTTTAATGATGCTCCATTTTTTTAAGACTCTGTCCTTTACTGCAGCAGAGGTGGCAAAAATATAAAACTTAGTAGTAGTAAAGTTTAACAGAAGTTGAAAGGAATGTTTTCATAAAGGGTTAAAATGACTAAGAAAACCAGCAAGAAAAAAATAAAAACTTTAACAAAAGTGACAGGTCTGTGAAAAAAATCTGGTATTCAGGGAATTAAATATTAAGTATGATATTTATGGAATTAGAGGACACAGGATTTTAAAGCACAGTGAATGCTATCAGGATGACCTATGGTTAGTCAGAGGGATTCCCTGTCATGTTAGTGGGGCACAGAGAAGATAAAGGAGATTGGCTCATTCCAGGTTCATTACCTTTACGGTTTCAAGAGTGACCCAGAAAACAGTACGATCAGCTCAGCAGTAATGTTCTCTGGCAAGAGACAACCATACCAGATAGGATTCATAATATGCCATGGGCATTCCACGTTTGCAAGACTTATTTGGAGAAACAATTGGAATTTGTACCCATGGAGATGGATACATATTTTGGTCTGAGAACAGATGAATATTCAGTTTTTTGCTTTATTACTCAAAGATTTATTGTTATGGTATTGTAAGAGTGATGTTGTAGCCACAATGGTCCAGATATACAAGAGGCAAGGGTTTCTCAGGGTGATATCTTGCATTGAACCAAATGTATAGAGTTGGGATAGAATTAAACAAGCTTTCAAATGTCTACAGTCACCTAAAGAAGAATGTCTTACATTTGAAAGTTTATCTAACTTTATCCCAACTGTACCGTTAGTCCAATAAAAAACAGCACCCTAAGAAATGTTTTCCTCTTGCATATATTATTGTTATACAATTTTGGAGTACATCGTGCATAGGGCTCTTTGAATTACAGGTTCAAATTCCTGGTAGGGTCAATTCAGATCTTCATTTTTTTAGGTAGCTAAACTGCATAGTGAACTAGATATGAAACTTTGGTCCAAGAGCTTAAGAAAATGGATGGTTGTCTACTGTAGGAGCATGTCAAAGCTCTACTGGTGCTTTTCCAGAATTGGTAGACTTTGGTTTGCGTTTCATTCATGTGTTGCTTTGTAATTGTGTTATGTAGGCTGTCAGCTGCCAAAATCAGGAAATGGCTACCTATCAACTGAACTATTTTTAAAATTCTTTGTAACTTCACAAGATGAAAACTGTGCAGGGAATATGTGTTAGCATTAACAAATTCATTATTTTGGGATTTATTTATAAAGCCTCTACCTTCTGTCCATTCACCAGCCCCCATGCCTCCTGTCTTCCAAGAGAAGCACTTGTTTCCTGAAACTAATATACCATGAACACTCAGGGTAGCAAACTATCATTCTCCACTTTAACTTGAGATCCATCTTTGATCTTCTCTCTTCACTGATGCAAGAGTGAAGGCCTTTGGAGAATTCAAGTGGCACCTTAAAAGGAGTATTTCATCAATCAGCACTATGCTGTGGTTTTACTAGACATTATTTATAGTAGAACAGTAGACATCTAATAAGACCTTAATCCTGAAATCATGATCACACAAATGTGGTGGCAGAATTAGGAATGGAGACAATAGAAGTTATAGATCAAATTAAAATATATATTTATTGTATTGTGTATGTGTGTGTGTTTGTATTACATCAATATTTGTTTTTGTCCTCTGCTTGAGACATTTGAAAAAATTTATGCATGCAAGAAATGTATCTCATATTTGAACAGACTTTTCCATGTAACATCATTCATTTAAGTCAGGGGTTCTCAATCCCTCGGCCGTGGCCCAGTGCTGGGCCATGGTGGGTCAGCTGCTGGTCCACAGCACAGTTGGCTGCCAGACTGGAAGTGTCCACAGATTGGCAAACTGCGGCTCCCCAAAGCCGGGCGGAGAGACCATGACTCTTTCTGCAGGGCCTGCAGCAGCACAGGGTTTGGCCCACCCCCCTGCCTAGAGGACAGGGATATCCTTACCTGTCTGCTGGCCAGAAATTCTGGTTGCAATTGGCTGTGACTGCTGTGCCGTGGCATAAAAACGTTGGGAACCCTGATTTAATTTTCATAATTTAACATGCACAAAAATTCTCTCTAAGGGACATATGAATCCAAAATTACAATGAATTTGCCCTTCCAGTCTATTCCTGTGACAGACTGATTGATTTAGGAGCTAGTGCAGTGGGAGGAAAAG